AGTCAAAGTTCAAAGCTGGCGTTGCAGTGAGCATAAGTGGCACAAAATCGGTTTTTGACAAAAGCTATGAAATTAATTGGACACCCCGAAAATTTCAAGATTGTTAAAGTAAGTGGTTCCTTCCCTCTTACGTATCTTTTGGAAGATATGGAGGGGCGTTAAATCAAAAGGTTCGTTTTATGAAGTCGAATTACAAAAACCGTACTACCAAATAGTCGATCGACTATTTGGTAGTACGGTTTTTGTAATTCGACTTCATAAAACGAACCTTTTGATTTAACGCCCCTCCATATCTTCCAAAAGATACGTAAGAGGGAAGGAACCACTTACTTTAACAATCTTGAAATTTTCGGGGTGTCCAATTAATTTCATAGCTTTTGTCAAAAACCGATTTTGTGCCACTTATGCTCACTGCAACGCCAGCTTTGAACTTTGACTTTTCCACTGCAAATTTTTTTTGGTAAATTATATGCGAGAATCTCCGTTGTTGGGGTAATTTCTGAAGGTTTCATTCCGGTGGTACTATGTTTTGTTTGAATATATTTTGTTGTTATTTTTTTTATTATTTAATAAAGTTATTTTTACGCAATTACTTGTTTTTTTTTACTTTTTTATGGGGGGTAAGGATAAAACATACACACACACTGAATTTTAAAAAACATTTATTATTATTAGTTTACAGGTAAATTTCTATTAAAACACAGGTATGTCCCATGCTATCCTTTTGTTGATATCTTGTTTTATCTGCATTTTTCCAAAACGCATGTAGTCCTCCATGCAGTAGCTCTGCTCACTCTCTTCCGTAGAACATAAATATTCTATATGCGGAAAGATTTTGGCGTCTTCCAGCAAATTTTCATCTATAGTCAAATACAATATTCTATCGTAGTACTCGTAAAAGTTCAAACGAGACAGTACTCGTATTCTTTTAAATACCAATTTGCTTATGGTAATTAATTCCTGTACCCAGTCTTTCGAAATATAGAGTATACCCTCGCTATTTTCAATCTTGACCAAGACTTCACCATCACATTGTAGACAGCTGAGTTTCAAGCAGGTTAAATACATAACTTTACCAGTCGGGCCTGCTAACAATAACAGTGGAAGCTGTTGTATTAATTCTGTGAAGTCCATCTCGTCGAACGAAATGCTTCTTTTCTCCGACAAAACGTAGGGGAGAAAGCTCACTTTCACTGCCGGAGCGAAGATTCTTGCTGGGCTAAGACCTGAGGTAATTTCTAGTCCGAATTCCGGCAGCGTAATTGCTGCCTCGTAAATGTATTTTTGTTCGCGGATTATTTCCGCATTGACCACAAATCTTCCCCACGAATCCAATGCTTGCGTTGGATAATTTTCGACTTCTGACATTTTTCTCACTCTGCACTTAACACGAAATTGTATGAGTGGAAACTGAATAAAAAATTAAAATTTCTTATAGCTTATATATGTATAACCCCACCCATTCCCCAGATCCAAAGCGAACGCCGCACAAACTTGTTTCGACAGGAAAAAAACCTGACGGAGAACCTCCATCCATCCCACTTTTTTTTAGACAAGCTCTGACAAGAAAAAAAAAAGTACGTATCAAATAATGCGCCATTTTAAAAGGGGACATATTATCAATAGTGAAACTATTTATATTAAGATATACCTTTATCCTCTTTGCAAATAATTTTCTACTCGCTCACAGGTAGGATCATGAAGATCCTTCAATATTTTGTTACACCAGGTATTTAGCTTAGCCTAGAATTCTTTTGAAAAATTATTATTTTTAAAAAAGGCGCGCGCTAGATCAGTTGCCGTTTCAGCGATATTTCCTTGTTTCCCGTGTCGGAGTTTATCTCTTTTCTTTTGTGCATATTCTTGTTTTAATTAAATCTTGATTATCTTTTATGCCAATTTTGACGATCATCTAATTTTTTGTAACTAAAATTAATTCAATAGAAACAATTAAGGCGAGATGATGCCCGGCAGCTGTTGTATTAGGTATGAAAAAATCAATTTGGATGAAGGAGATGCTTCTTTTGTCCCGACAATGTACAAGAATAAACCTGTCTAACCATAGCAAAATGGGGCCCAAAACTGTGACACTAGGCGAGAGTATGCGTTATTTGGAAGTTAAATTTTAAAAATCCTTTGTAAAATATTCACGGGGAGGGTGTCAAGGCGTCAATTTTTATAAACATCGGAGGTCAGTGTCGGAGAAATAAGGGTTCTTCCCTTTTCTCCTCGTCTCTTTTTAACTCCGTTTTGAGTAATTTGTAATAATTTGAGAAAAAAAAAATCCAGTACCCGAAAAATGGACACACATTTGCAAGCAAAACAAAAAAAATAGGATACAAAAAAAAAAACTATAAAATATAGGCGCCAATGCAGGCAATAGTTTAAATACGGGAAGTTACATTTTTAAACATAAATTCAGATTTTCGGTGGCAATATAACTCTATTTTTCGTGTTTGTTAAGAACCAGGCTTTGGAAACGTCTGGTTAAGGCCACAGGCCATTAGCTTCTAAATAAACGCGAGATATCATGAAAACCGAAAAAGTTTGAATGGAATCTAACGTTTCCTTTTGTTTCTCAAAAATAGTAATTAAGCGGAAAAGTACTCGTAGTATATTGATTAATTGCAGAAATGTCTCATTTTCTACAAAACAACTTAAGTTAAATAAAATGCAAATTAAATTATTATAAATTACCGCTTTGTTGTATTCGCTATTTACTATGCCCCAACCTATGACGACACTGGAGGGTAGCTTAAAATTTGACCTGCTTGGTTTACCTGCCTTTCGTAGGAATGCGGGTTGTTTCACGTGTCAGTCGAAGTTTAAAGAAGCGTTTGTGTTAAGGGTTCGTTTCTGTTATCCGCGTTTGTTGCTTAATGCAATATCGCCAACGAGTTTAAGTTTTGTGTTCAATGTGTGTTTCATATACGGATAAATAAAACAAAAAAGACTGGAAAAAGATAGGTAAGAAGCTTTCGGAATTGCGACTTTAATGAGTAACCGCGTAACATTTTGACCTAGTATTATGTATATGTTCGACGAGGTTTCTATACTTAATTAAAAAAAAATTGGGGAGTGATCAAAGGAGGCTGAGGTCGGAGATACGGATCTTGTTTAGTATCAATTTTTGTTTAATAAAACAACCAAAAATGCTCGCTTACGTTTTTGAAGTAGGTAAAAAGGAAACAGAATTTTAATAGAAATAACGCACGATATATCTTCCAAAAAATTCAGCCATATGAACAACGCGAAGAAGTTAAGCAGATAAAATTTTACAAGATTTTTGGGGGGGGCCAAGTGTAAATTCGGATTCTGGAAAGTAACAGATAGAGAGAATGAGTGACCTATATAGAAAAAGAGAGACAGAAAGGTAGATTTATTTAAACGTTTCTCGATCATCCACCCATCGGAGATAATAAATAACATTCGCTAGTTTTTTTTGCATGTATTGAGTTAAGTTCGGAATAGAAATATATCAATAGTAAATATGGTAATTTTTGGGGATTGTTATACGTCCGCCAGCGTATTAAAAATATGGTTTTAGGGGTTAGAACTTTTAAGTTTAAAGAAAAAAAAAACTCATGTTGAAATTTTTGTATTCGGAAGCTTCTGTTGTTTATTAATTTATAGACACTGGAAAATATAATAATAAAACATCCTACAGTTGACATACGTGTCCTCTTAAACTCGAAAAGAGCTAATTTATCTTAGAAGAGTACGTATTTTTGGTAAAATAGATATTTTTTATATTAAATATTTGACCGATCGATGTAATTCGTCAAGCAGAAACCGAGAAGAAAAGTGACGCTTGTGGTGTTTGCTGACAATCCGACCCTGCTTCGTGTACAAATGCAATGACATTTCGGCAGGGCTATAGGCTACGAAACCTTTCAGACTCGAAAAGGACGAACTGTTTTAAAGAAAAAAGGTACTTCATTTTTGGTAAAAGTAATAGATAATTTTTTTTTACGCTAAATATTCCACAGATCGATGTAACTCGTCAAGCAGAATCCGAGAAGAAAAGTGACCGGGGGTGCTGTTTGCTTACAATCCGACCCTGCTTCGTGTACAAATGCAATGCCATTTCGGCAGGGCTATAGGCTACGAAACCTTTCGAACTCGAAAAGGCGCTACTAATTTTGAATAGGTACTTCATTTTTGGTAAAAGTAATAGATAATTTTTTTTTACGCTAAATATTCCACAGATCGTTGTAACTCGTCAAGCAGAATCCGAGAAGAAAAGTGACCGGGGGTGCTGTTTGCTTACAATCCGACCCTGCTTCGTGTACAAATGCAATGGCATTTCGGCAGGGCTATAGGCTACGAAACCTTTCGAACTCGAAAAGGCGCTACTAATTTTGAATAGGTACTTAATATTGGGTAAAAGTAATAGATAAGATTGTTTTACATTAAATATTTGACAGATCGATGTAACTCGTCAAGCGGAATCCGAGAAGAAAAATGACGGATGTGCTGTTTGCTGATAGTCCAGAACGGCTTCGTGTACAAATGCATGGCGGGGAGACCAGAAAGTTTTCGAAACTGCGTGAGTGGAAGTCTGCGTTGGACAAATTTTGAAAATATCTGAAGGTTTAACGAATTTTGGAGAATTCGACAGAGCTACAGACTACGAAACCTTTCGAAACGAACACACGTGTCCTGTTGAACTTGAAAAAAGACGAAATTATTTTTAAAAAGGTATATTGTTGCTAAATAATAGATTTTTTTTAATTAAAATATTTGACAGATCATGGTAACTCGTGAAGCAACATCTCAGAATTGAATCGGGGAACGAGGAATCAAAAAAAGGTTAACAATTTGGATCATTTTGGAAGATACATACGCCGCGCTTTTCAAAGCGGACAGACGTGCCCTTGTCCAACTGAAACGAACACACGTGTCCTGTTGAACTTGAAAAAAGACGAAATTATTTTTAAAAAGGTATATTGTTGCTAAATAATAGATTTTTTTTAATTAAAATATTTGACAGATCATGGTAACTCGTGAAGCAACATCTCAGAATTGAATCGGGGAGTTGTGTATTTGCTGGCAATCCGGGCCTGCTTGGATCATTTTGGAAGATACATACGCCTGCGCTTTTCAAAGCGGACAGACGTGCCCGTGTCCAACTTGACAAAGGCGGAATTATTTTAGGAAAGGTATATTATTTGTAAAAAAAAAAATATACAATTTTTAAGTAACATATTTGACAGACCATGGCAACTAGTAAAGCAGAATCCGAGAATTCAATCGGCGGCTGTATGTTGACTGACAAGAATATAATTGCTGTTAATCCGGCCCTGCTTCTTGTACAAATGCATAGTGGGGAGACATGAACATTTTTCGAAATTGCGGCCCTATCCTCTTGGGATTTTACGTTGGACAAATTCTGAAAACGACCCAGAAATATAATTGGTGAGAAAATAGTTTTTTTTGTTGTGTTAACAGTTAACAATTTTTTTTATTTTGGAAATAAGGGGGTTTCAGTATGTACTGGTAATAGTGAATCAATTTAATGACCTCAGCATCTCTAAACCCCCATCTTGAGACGCGTTAACGATCCGGATCGAGTTACGTCGCGTAATTGTGTCACTTTTTTAATTAAAAAATGAAAGAGATGTACCTACCATACTTTAGAAATCCCCTACTCCCCTTTGGAGGTGATGAAATAAGTTTTGGCATAAAATATAAGTTCCTCGTATTACTTTGATATAAGTATAAGTCTTGCCTGTTTTTTTTTAAAGGAGGTTCAAACCCGTGCGAGGTGAGGTTTGATATATGAAACAGACCAGTCATGGGGACACGAGATATGGAAAGTTTCAGCGTAGTCGTCGCCAAATCAGGTAAAATTTTGAAAACACATATTTGTGGCAATATAGAACCTCTCTTTTTTTTAACAGGAATATTGAGACTTAGACCAGTATCTTTTTAAGTAGGCATGTGGGGTAAAGAAGACGCAGAAGCTTCAGTCGGGCACCTTCGGTAACGTAGGCGGTTGATATATTTCCACCACTACATATGTTGGATTGGAATTTCCCATTTGATGCTTTGACTGACTAAATGAGGAAACTTGGAGGTAAGCTCTTACGGAATTCTATCGAGATATGTTTAGTAACATATTGGTGCATTACTCTGTCTTCCAGTCAGTTTCACATAAACTTTGCACGTATTATAGAAATGCCACCTACTTTTTTTTGTGTTAATATTATTGAAAGTAGTAGCTGGTAGCTGTAGTCGTAAGCCCAGAGAGTCTCTGTTTTGAACATAATACACAAAATGGGGCGTTCAAAAACAATAGACTGCATGCCTTTTAGAGTCGGCGTAAACTATGGTCATATACCCCTGATCAAATTCAGAACTAGAAAATCGTTGTGTCTCTGCATTAAAAATAATAGTAAAATTTATTGTAGGCACCTAGTAGAGTATCGAAAATTTCCATTTTTAGTGCCAAATTGGTTACTCCAGTAAATTCCAAGTGTTCTAATTTTTTTTTAATAATTTATGATGTTAGTGAGTTTCATTGCGATTATTTGTTACTTAAATTTTCTGCGTATTAAACCTTAATTAACAATACGCTATTCGTTAACGCAGGTAGAATTAATGACGCTGACTGACCTGATTTTGTCCAGGGGGGCGTAGTACGGTAGTTTGTACTGTGATGTTTGGTAGTTTGGCAGTGAGCTCTCATTTATGAAACTGGGGAATGTTTCGTTATCTTCAAATCGTAAGCACGTATCATTAGAATTATATTTTTAAAATATTGATTAGGACATGTACTAAGTAACTAAATACTCTAGCGAAAATATTCACACATATTGCGGAAAACGTACAAATTTAAATTAGAGAAAATTAACTGTTTTTAGAGGTTGGTTTTTCAAAAAGGTGGGGATTTAGTTAAAGAACAGATAGAGACTAAAGGGAAGCTCTATGAGAAAAATTAGAATTAAAAAGTCGATGTTTTCGTGTCATAGCGAAAGATGGATTATTATTAAAAATAATACTTGCATTAATTGTTGTCACCATTTGTGAAAAATATGGAAAATATCCTCTAGGTTCGCATACCTTTTTTTTTAATTTTTTAAGGTGGCTAACAAAATACACAGACAGAAAAGTTTAGATCCTGTTCGTTAATGTAGCGCATAGAAAAAAAATAGAAAAGAGAACGTTTCGTGTATAGCATACGTAGTTAGTACGGAATATTAATAGTAGATGTATAGTGCCGATATAAGCAACAGAAACCGTACATAACCTCAATTTCCTAACCCCCCCGCAGCGGGGGCCCCCCGCGCGTGGCGTCCTAGTGTCCCCCCTGTCTCCCAGAGTGCGCTCCGCCCCCCACCCAGCTTGTGTAGCGTCCTGTTTTGCCCCGGTTCCGCCCGTCGCTGCTAGATGTCGCGCGCTTGTGTAGCGTCCTGTTTTGCCCCGGTTCCGCCCGTCGCTGCTAGATGTCGCGCGCTCCGACCGTCGTAGGCCCCCCCGGTAGAGGGCGGTGACGGTGCGGCGCGGTGACGCGGTGGATCGGGAGGATAATTAAATAAACTTGAATTTTAATACATTTTATTTTATTTTATTTATAAAATTGGTCTGGCGAGGAGTTTCTTCTTCTTTTTATGTCGATTCAGTCGACCATCCCATTGTTCCTGTTCCTTGCGTTGTTCTTCTTCCCGTTCCCGGAGGAAATCTAAATACGAAGTGCACTCCTCGCCGTCCCACTCCGTCGACCACCCACCCGGGTACTCCTGCTGCTCCTTTGTTTCTTTTGATCCACCGGGTTGCTCCTGCTGCTGGTGATGTTCCCTTGTCGTTTCATGTCGTACCGGGAATTCTAACCCCCGGTACTCTTTGTGTGATTTGAATATGTGACGCCCTAAGCGATGCGCCAACATAATATGCGACTTGTCATACGGACAAACCGCGATTTTTTCTAGAACAAAACAAAGTATGATATGTAGCGTTTCCTATAAAACACACATTTTTTTTTTTTAAACAAAACTTCCAAAAAGGGGGGTTATCAAATAATTTTAAAAATTGTTTTTTAAGTTATACGCGCATACCAAAATTCACGTTTCAATTCACTGTCATTTAAATGTAAGTGTATTATTGTCAAAAGGGCAAACTGCAATTTTTTAGTACAAAAAATAAACAAAAATATGTATATATTTCGCGTTTTCCCCATAAAACGCACATTTTTGAAACAAAACTTTCAGTAATTTTAAAAATTGTTTATTTTTTAAAAGCCAAAATTCCCTATTCACTGTCATTTAAAAGATATTAAAAACGCTCAATTTAATTCGATTATTATTGTCAAAAAGGCAAACTGCAATTTTTTAGTACAAAAAATAAAACATTTTTGAAACAAATTTAAAAATTGTTTATTTTTTAAAAGCCAAAATTCCCTTTTCCATTCACTGTCATTTAAAAGCTATTAAAAACACTCAATTTAAATCGGTTATTATGCAACGTAAAAAAGATGAGTATCATATTTTAAAACAGGTAGAAACTAACCAAAAAAGTGATAACCCAAACTGAAACCCACAAGAAAAGACGCGCACTGTATAAAGGTAATTAAAATATAAAACTTACCAGTTGTAGGGTCGTAGGGAAATGGACATCGCACTTCTCTATTCATTGCACTGAATATAGTCTATAATACACATGCAACGTATTTATACACATGCACTCCCTTCCATGGTTGAATTAAAAGTCGAAAGGTCTTCTACCCACAAGCACCAACGCCGATTTGAATAGACGCGATGTTGTCGCCAGACAACCGTGCAGGTAGAAGTCTCAAGGTCAACACGCTTTCACACGGGAACGCAACCGTTTCGGACGTTGGACGAACGTATGTTGCCGCAAAAGATCAAGGCCAACTTGCTTTCATTTTTTACAATCTCCGTATGGGATGTGGAATTTCAAAACGCGCCGAGTCTAAATGTCAAGTTGTTTTGCTTGTTGAGAATAATAATTAATTGCCCCCTTTATATTTGCTCCGTGGGATTAACGTAATGGGAAAAATTTGTTGCAACGCATGTGGAGGTGTCTTCGTTTGTTAACTTTTAGAAAGTATTCTCGCACCGTATAAATACATCTCATTTTTCTCTGTTTTGTCAGTAGTTGTTTTTGGTATTATTCGTGCAACGTGGAAGCTAACTTAGTGGTTTGGTGTTCGTACAAAAAAGCAGTAAGTACCTTTTTTATTGTCTTATTTTAATTCTTTAACATTTGTTATTATTTTATAAAGGTCCTAAAGATCATCTTAGTACTCTCAACCCGTAACCGCAAATAGAATAGCAGCAATCTTAAGCGTAAGTTTTTTTTTATTTTTTTAATTTTGAGATAAAATAATTAATAATAATTTATAGATGGACTTAAGTCAACTGAATCAAACCTGTCTTGCAGAAGGTGATTTTGAGCAGCCGATTGTCAAACTGCATGAATTGCCGATAGGCGTTCCGTTTAAAATTACTAGAGCCAAAATTGTTAATACAAAATTTGGCAATTCCGTGTTGCTGCAATTAGAAAATTCCGTAGTATTTCTTCCTACTCGCGTGACAGAAGCTTTCCGTCCGAGACTAGAACACTTTGCGTCGGGGCAGTACAAACTGGTCTACGAGGGATCCAAAGATATTGGAAAGCCCAACTCTTTAAAGAAATTCAAAATAATTCAAAATTAATCAACATATTATACAGGGTAAGTCTTATTTACTGTTATATATTTAATAAACCACGATGCGCGTAAAGCAGATCATTCATAGAGCGCAAATCTTAATTTTAACCTTACAAAAATTAAAAAAGCATATTTCCGACAAGTTCACTCTTAGAGATAGTGATGTGTGGCTTAGGAGACTAAATAAAAATATTGAATCTTGCAACCAAATCGTTTCTAACGAAAAGGATTTCTCTATTGGGTTAAAAAGAAAATTACAAACTACAATTCAACATCTGAAAGCTATTAGAAAAATTATTCTTAATTATCAACATAAGCATTTTGGATTGGGATTACAAAGTAGTAGCCGCGAGACAAACACAAATGAAATGGTTGTATGGGAATCGGTAGCGTCGTGTTTCCAGGGAAGAGTTCAGACCGGTGTCATAATTAATTTACTTCATAAAGATTTAATTCAATTTTTAAACGATTCTCGTCCAATATTTCAACAAAAAATTAGTCAAATTTTAAAGAAATTTTTATTGCTGAAAGTAAATACCACATTTTGCGGTGAATTTATTAAGGCAAAAAATGATGTCCAAGGCGAAGTTGATGTTAAATATCTGAGTACCGGAAATGCTGTAGTTGATTTAGGAACAGAATTGAATGATTGGTTTGTTGAAAATGTGCAAGATAAAATTTTAAATCAAATGTCAGAGTTTCAGGAACGTGATTCCGGGTGGGCTTTAAATAATATTATTTATTTAGAGATTAACATTAATAAATTTGAAATGGGTAACGGGTCATCCTTCGTTGAGTTGCCTAAAGAAATTGCGAATAAAAGGGCTTGTATTAACATTAGAAATGACGATCAAGCGTGTTTTTATTGGTCAGTTGTATGCGGACTCTTTCCAGCACGTTTTCGTCAGTATTTACCCTCTTCATATCCATACTACAAAAGTGTTTTGAAAACTGAAAATTTACAAACACCTATGGAAATGAATAAAATAAGCAAATTTGAAAAAGACAATGATATTTCCATCAATGTTTATATCTTAGAGCTTAATAAAAATGAAAAAACTAGTTTTTATTCCGTGTTACCTGCACGATTAACAAAAGAAAAACGCGAAAAACATTCAAATTTGTTGTTAATACAAAATAAATATTATCCAAAAGTTAATGATTTTGATCCTGATCCGCAAGATAATGATTATGAAGAAATAAAATATCACTATTGTTACATTAAAAATTTGTCTCGATTAGTTTCCTCACAGCTCAGTAAATATAATCACAAGAAATACATTTGCGATAGGTGTTTGAATTATTTCAATAACGAAACTCGTCTACATGACCATGAAACAATATGTTCCAGTTTCAATGAGTATAAAGTGTCTTTTCCCAAATATGATTACGTTGAATTTCGAAACCATATATATAAACAAAGGACTCCGTTTGTAATTTACGCCGATTTTGAGAGTC